AGAGTCTTGCCAAGAGAACACACTGGTCATAGAAACACCATCTTGCAACAACACAAGAGACAACTCTACACATGGACGTCACCAGATGGTCAATACCGAAATCAGACTGATGATACTTTTTGCAGCCAAAGATGGAGAAGCTCTACACAGTCAGCAAAAACAAGACTGGAAGCTGACTGTGGCTCAGATCATGAGCTCCATATTGCCAAATTCAGGCTTAAATTGAAGAAAGCAGGGAAAACCACTAGGCCATTCAGGTATGACCTAAATCAAATCCCTTATGATTATACAGTGGAAGGGATAAATAGACTCAAAGGATTAGATCTGATAGAGTGCCTGAAGAATGATGGACGGAGGTTCATGACATTGTACAGGAGGCAGTGATCAAAACCATCCCCAAGAAGAAGAAATGGAAAAAGTCAAAATGGTTGCCTGAGGAGGCCTTACAAATAGGTGAGAAAAGAAGAGAAGCTAAAGGCCAAGGAGAAAAGGAAAGATATACCCATCTGAATGCAGAGTTCCAAAGAATAGCAAGAACAGATAAGAAAGTCAGCAAATCTGGAAAACTCAGCAGTGGCCACAGGACGGGAAAAGGTCAGTTTTCATTCCAATCCCAAAGAAAGGCAATGCCAAAAAATGTTCAAACTACCGCACAATTGCACTAATCTCACACTCTGGCAAAGTAATGCTTAAAATTCTCCAAGCTAGGCTTCAACAGTACATGAACTGAGAACTCCCAGATGTTCAAGCTGAATTTTTAAAAAGGCAGAGGAACCAGAGATCAACTTGCCACCATCCACTGGATCATAGAAAATGCAAGAGAATTCCAGAAAAAAAAATCTCCTTCATTGACTATGCTAAAGCCTTTGACTGTGTGGGCCACATGAAACTGTGGAAAATTCTTCAAGAGTCAGAAACACCAGACGACCTTACCTGCCTCTTGAGAAATCTTTATACAGATCAAGAAGCAACAGTTAGAACTGGACATGGAACAATATACTGGTTCCAAACTGGGAAAGGAATATGTCAAGGCTGTATGTTGTCATCCTGCTTATTTAATTTATATGCAGTGTACAACATGTGAAATGCCGGGCTGGATGAAGCACAAGGTGGAATCAAGATGGCCAGGAGAAATATCAGTAACCTCAGATATGCAAATGACACCACTCTTATGGCAGAAAGCAAAGAGGAACTAAAGAGCTCTTGATGAAAGTGAAGGAGGAGAGTGAAAAAGCTGGTTTAAAACTCAACATTCAAAAAACTAAGATCATGGCATCCAGTGCCATCACTTCATGGCAGATAGATGGGGAAACAATGGAAACAGTGACAGACTTAATTTTCTTGGGTTCCAAAATCACTGCAGATGGTGACCGCAGCCATGAAATTTAAAAAAAGAAAAAAGGCGCTTGGTCCTTGGAAGAAAAGCTATGACCAACCTAGACAGCATATTTAAAAGCAGAGACCTTACTTTGCCAACAAGGGTATGTCTAATCAAAGCTATGGTTTTTCCAGTAGTCATGTATGGATGTGAGAGTTGGACCATAAAGAAAGCTGAGCACTGAAGGATTGATACTTTTGAACTGTGATGTTGGAGAAGACTCTTGAAAGTCCCTTGGACTGCAAGGAGATCAGTCCAGCCAATCCTAAAGGAAATCAGTCTTGAATATTCATTGGAAAGACTGATGCTGAAGCTGAATCTCCAATACTTTGGCCACCTGATGTGAAGAACTGACTCATTTGAAAATACCCTGATGCTGGGGAAAATTGAAGGCAGGAGGCGAAGGGGATAACAGATGATGAGATGGTTGGATGACATCACTAACTAGATGGACATGAGTTTGAGCTAGCTCTGGGAGTTGGTGATGGACCCGGAAGCCTGGCATGCTACAGTCCATGGGGTCACAAAGATTTGGACACAAGTGAGCGACTGAACTCTATTGATGCCATATTCCATAGTGGCTGTATCAATTTACATTCTCACCAACAGTGCAAGAGGATTCCCTTTTCTGCATGCTCTCTCCAGCATTGTTTGCAGACCTTTTGATGATGGCCGGTCTTACTGGTATGAGGTGACACCTCATTGTACTTTTGATTTGCACTTCTCTAATAATGAGTGATGTTGAGCATCTTTCATGTGTTTGTTAGCCATCTGTATGCCTTGTTTGGAGAAATATCTGTTTAGGTCTTTTTCCCCACTTTTTGATTGGGTTGTTTATTTTTCAGGTATTGACTTGTAAGAGCTGATTGTATATTTTGAAAATTAATCCTTTGTCAGTTATCTCATTTGCTATTATTTTGTTCCATTCTGAGGGTTGTCTTTTCACCTTGTTTACAGTTTCCTTGCTGTGCAAAAGCTTTTAAGTTTAATTAGGTCCCACTTGTTTATTTTTGTTTTTATTTCCATTACTCTAGAAGGTGAGTCATAGAGGACCCTGCTTTGATTTATGTCATCGAGTTTTCTGCCTGTGTTTTCCTCTTAAGAGTTTTATAGTATTTGGTCTTACATTTAGATCTTTAATCCATTTTGAGTTTATTTTTGTATTTGGCTTTAGGACATGTTCTAATTTCATTCTTTTACATGTAACTGTCCAGTTTTCTCAGCACCACTTATTGAAGAGGCTGTCTTGCCCCATTGTATATTCTTGCCTCCTTTCTCAAAAATAAGATATCCATAGGAGTGTGAGTTTATCTCTGGGCTCTTCATCTTGTTCCATTGGTCTGTATTTCGGTTTTTGTGCCTGTACCACTATTTTGATGACTGTAGCTTTGTAGTATAGTCTGGAGTCAGGAAGGTTGATTCCTCCAGCTCCATTCTTCTTTCTCAAGATGCTTTGGCTATTCGGGGTCTTTTGTGTTTCCATATGAATTGTGAAATTTTTTGTTCTATTTCTGTGAAAAGTGCCATTGAGTAATTTGATAGGGATCACACCGAACCTATATATTGCATTTGGTAGTATAGCCATTTAAATGAATGGCTAAACTGACTACATAACCATTCATGTTAATTTACAAAAGGACAGAACAGAAATTCTCACCACCTGGGAGGCATTGTAACCAAGAGGAAATGAGCAGAATTAGATTTCTTTTTTTTCCCATCAATGAGAAGGTTAAACAATGCTGACAGAGAAGAGGTGAGGACTTACTGCTAGTCATATGACTGGAACCTGCAAACTCGATACCAATGAGAATGTAACGCTACCTGACGAACCTGTCCCCCAGTTATAATACAGTGTGACCTCAGCAGCTGCAGGCAGAAAGTTCTACGGTCCATTTTATGTTTAAATGCACATGGATGAAAGCATTAAGTTGAAACTTTCTACTCCAAAATTCTGATCTCCCTATGAACTCATTGATTTCTCCGTTTTCATACTTATTTTGACAGATTCGAGATAGCTGTAAATTTTGGGCTACATCTCCCACTAGAGGGAGGGGTCTAAACTTCCCCTCTTTGAGCTCAGGCTGGCCTTGGGGACTTTCTTTGTCAACCAGCTGTGGCAGCAGGCCATCCTGGGGCTCCCTCACCTTTCCTCCTGAAACCTGCAAGCACTGCCTCTGATAGAGACAGCCTCTCCCTAAGCTCAGCTTTCTAGAAGCCTCCAGGCTGTGGGGAAGCACAGAGGACACACACAGACTGTCCCAGCACATGGGTGACTGGGGGTGCCGGTGGTTTAAGTGGCTTTAGTGAGCGAGGTATAGTTGATACACAAAGCTGCACAGGTTAATCTATCTCAACAGGTGAGTCTGGGCTTTAAACGAGGTCATGCCATACTCATCGTGTACTCATCCTCTTCTCACTTAGCATAATGTTCCCCAGGTTCATCCATGTTGTTGCAAATGGCAGGATTTCCTTTTTTTATATATATAGGCTGAATAACTCTCTGTGTAATCCACCTTCTCTTTATCCATTCATCTGCCCATGGACATTTGTGCTGTTCCCATGTCTTGGCTACTGTGATTAATGCTGCAGTGGACACAGGGGTGCAGATACTCTTCAAGATCAAGATTTCCATATCTTCAAATGTTCTCCCACAGGTGGAACTGCTGGATCATATGCTAGTTCTAGTTTTAACTTTTGGAGGAACTCCCATATCATTTTCCATAGTAGTTACACCATTTTTTAATTTCCTTCCAACAGTGCACAGACTAAACAGCAGGAAAATGCAAGTCAGAACCACCGAGAAGCCATTTTGAGCTTCTAGACTCAGTAGATGCAGCGTGGAAAACAGGAAACAAGGCAGAGCCGGGACTGAGCCACGCGGTCCCCTCCCTACCAGTGTCCACCGGTGCTGGGAAGCACCCTCTGTCCCACCTGCGTTCCTGACCCACGGGGTTGGGGCCAGGGTAGGGCAACTGTTTCTTCAGGCCCCTGTGTTTTGGGGTGGTTCCAAAACAGATAGGCCAGACATATATCTTCAACTGAAGAATTTCTTCAATATCCCATGAAAGGGAATACATACTTACCTTACTATTCACTGAAATTGCCTGTTTCTCAGCTGTCATTTTTTTTGTTTTATAGACACATTGTGATTCCTTCTTATTCTACTGTGATCTAGACCTTGCACTATAAAATTTAGTGTTAAAGACTCTCTAAACTATTTACAGGAAATTATTACTATTTACCATCAGTGAAAAGTCACAATTTCTTTTCAGGTCGAACTGTCAAATTATCAAAAGCCTAACAGAGTAGAAAACAACTCAAAAACCAGAATATGCTTTCCTAATCAGCTTCGGAGTAGGCAACGGCAACCCACTCCAGTACTCTTGCCTGGAGAATTCCATGGATGGAGGAGCCTGGTAGGCTACAGTCCATGGGGTCGCTAAGAGCCGTACATGACTGATCGACTTCACTTTCGCTTTTCACTTTCATTCATTGGAGAAGGAAATGGCAACCCACTCCAGTGTTCTTGCCTGGAGAATCACAGGGACAGTGGAGCCTGGTGGGCTGCCACATATGGGGTCGCACTGAGTCGGACACGACTGAAGCGACTTAGCAGCAGCAATCAGCTTAATTTTTTCATAGAATTTTATTCCTTTTGTCTTTCTTGAATTCATAGTTGCTATTTTCACACAGCTGATCTCAACATACTAATTTCCTCTTCGTGTTTGGTTGCAAAACAATAAAGCAGTGACAAAACAGTGCCCAATGCGTAGGAAAGTGTGGAGCTATTCTGGTGTTTCTGGTGACTGTTCGTGTTCACTTCACATGTTGGGGCAGTTGTGTGGGGTAACACCTGGAGAACATTTGAAAAGAAGTGAGAGAAAGATTTAATTAGCAAGGGTTAAAACGCAGAGTAACTTCCTCAGTTAAAAGTGTGCCATTTGTTTATATGAACTGGAAATTGGAGTTTCCTTGCCCATGTTCAAGACCAGAACTTTGGACCATCTACCAGAGGAAGGGGTCTGATTTACCATAAACTAAATACACTGGCAATTTAGAGAAGCTTTCAGTAATACTTAGAATAAAATGTCAATGAAGTTTCTAAGAGAAAAACCAAAGCTCAGCACTTAGGTGTAGCAAGTTTGCCATCTACTGATCAGTAGGGCATCTTTCTTTTAATGGAAAAGGAAATTCTGAATATGGGTGCGGCTGCTGCATCTGAAATAGTAATGTCAATATTTCAAGGCAAAAGCATTAAATACACAGCTTCCAGGTACGCAGCCCTAGGCCGAACCTGGAGAGGAGCCAGGTATTAGGCTGTTCAGCCTCCAGAATGATCACCACCTGATGGGGATACACAAGGAAGGTCTTTAACGAAAGACGGAATGTGTCTCAGATCCAGCATGAGGGACAGACAGGTGTGCCATTGTTCGGTTCTCCACCATCTTTTGGGTGTTCAGAAGCAGCCTGCCCTACTCCCTGCCACTGCAAAACACTTGAGTGCCTGAGGAGGATATTCTAGAAGTTGGCCTTCCCTCTGAGGATAGAGTCTAAGTAGTTAAGACAATGGAAAAGGATATTGCTACTGGTCAAAGCTTCATTTCTTATTGCTTAATTGAGATAAACACTTAAACCCATTAATCTATCCAATAACCCTCCCTACCTGATGCTCACATGGACAGCCAGCCACCGAGGCAGAGACCGTCTTCACATTTCCTGTAGGCAGATGTTGAGTGTGTGAGGATTCAAGTGATAGCCAAGGTCAGGGAAGACTGGTCCTGTCCTAATGGAGTCGAAGCTTTGGTGTGCTGTGTTCTTCGGTGATCATACACTCCAGACCAAATGGTGCTCCGGAGTGTTAATTCTCACCTAATCTGTGCTCTATGCAGCTGGGTTCATTTAACAGCTTTTAAATTTTAGAGGCAAAATCATCTTCCTCTATGGAATTCATCATAGGATAAGTGATTGTTAATTAATTCAAAAGAGCTTGTTTTCCAAAGTAAAAAACTAAAGCTGTTTCATATGTGTGGATCCTTCAGGGATCCCAGTTCTTTAGGGGAAGAGAATGCATTTTATTTTAGAATAAAATTCTAAATTGACAGCTGCCAGTTTGAAAAAAGAAAGGTTAATTTTTCTTTGAGACTGACTACATTTAATTTGCAAGTCTTATGATTATTCTAAAATCATTTCATTTCTGTTGAGATTTGTTTCCAAGGAGAAAATAGATATTTGATGAAAAATACATGGCTCTAAGTTTTAGGAGATAAAACTTTTCATAAATTATTTTTTGTATAGAATGTCTATTGATAACTTTCCCTAGTTTTTCCCCACATTTCCCCATCTCTTGTTCAGTAAACTGTTTTTAAATCTTTACTCTGGAGCATTGCACTGAAAGTACAGCAATGGAAAGCAATCAATCATTCCCACAAGGAGTTCAGGGAAAATAAACAGACGTTGGCAGGCAGGCTGTGTATTTGTGGGAGAGGCAGGGCACAGCATCAATCCTTAGCCTGCAGATTAAGCCAGTTCTGTTCTCTGTGTAGTCAAGTTTATTTCAATAAAAAGCAACAGATTTAATGCATTTAGGTACACGTGGAGGTTCTAGGGTCAGAATCCTTGTTTAGAAACCTCTAGCTGAGGCTGAGTGTGTGACTTTAGACAGTGTGTTTACTCCTCTGCCTCAAAGCCACCATCTGTATTTGAGTAACAAACATTCCCATACCCACGAGACCAGTAAAACACTTAAGAAGATGACTGTGTCCCATCCACACAAACTCAACATCAGAATATACTTCTTCTGCATTTCCTACTTGGGAATGTTCCAGAACATGTCCTCATGGTACTTGGGAGGGCCATAAGCCTCCAGCGTGGAGTGTTCCAAATCACCCAATCACAGGGATGGAGTGAAGTGTGTCATGCCTGCTGTTTATGAGGATCAACTTGAGTGTAGAGAGGGGGAGACGGGGAGAGAAACCCATGGCCACCCCAACAGGGAACTCAGGAAGGAAAGGGCTTCTCCAAGTTGTGCAAGGCAGAAGTCAGCCAGACAGTGAGAGAGTCCAATTAGAAACCCTCTCTTCCCACCTGCCTCCTCGGTCCACTTCTGGTGCACCTGAATGTGTGGAAATAGAAAAGATGCTATTTTTATTAAAAATTGAAAGTGATATAAAGCTAATGTAGATGTAATTGCTCATAAATTATTTATTCTAATAATTCTGACTCTATGGCCCAAGATTTTCACTAGTACTCTTATGTATCTTAGAATATCTTTGAACTGAGTATATGTAAAAGCATATAGAAAACTATTATGAATGATATGCACAACATCTGAAATCTTGGAAGTATGAAATATTTAAGTCATATGTAATGAGCATTATATTTAGAAGAAGCATACTTTTCTATGTAAGAGACTGATGAACACCAAGGGACAAACACTTCATACTGAATGATACTTCTGTTTGAATTATGTCAAGCACCTCATGTAAATAAGGAAAAGCTTGACATATCAGATTCTATCTCCAGCAATAGCATATGTTTTTTATATACAACAAAAATATGTGAAAGGAAAACCAGATGCTTTCCCATGCTCACCAGTTATCCTGACAAAATACTTGCCACTAAAACCTACCCATTTTTGCTGCCTCCCCATAGATTACTTTTGAAGATAAATTTCAAACATTGTATAATTCCACCCACAGTAAATTCAGTATGCACATCTAAAATATTTTAAAAGTAAATACAATACTACTATTCTATCTAAATAAACTATATAGTTGATATCATTAAATATCCAATGTGTGCAGGCTCAGGCATGTCTGACTCTCTGCAATCCCATGGACTGGGGCTCACTAGGCTTTTCTATCCATGGGATTTTCCAAGCAAGAATACTGGAGTGGATTGCCATTTCCTACTCCAGGGGATCTTCCTGACTCAGGGATTGAACCCATGTCTCTTGTGTCTCCTGCATTGGCAGGTGGATTCTTTACCATGAGTGCCACCTAGGAAACCCTAAAGATCCAGGAAATTTTAAAATATCCATGGATTTTCAAATACCTTTCATTGTCATAATTTTGTAACTATTTCCATGCTGTATCTAGAGCAATATGATGTGTATATATTGCAATCCTTGACATTTCTCTCTTAATACAGGGTAGTTCTCATCTCTGGCTGGAGAAGGAAATGGCAACCCACTCCAGTTTTCTTGCCTGGAGAATCCTGTGGACAGAGGAGCCTGGTGGGCTGCTGTCCATGGGGTCACACAGAGTCGGACACGACTGAAGTGACTTAGCAGCTGCAGTTCTCCTCTCTGGCACTATAATCCTGGAGAATCTCTCTCAATCTGGGTTTCATAGACAAGATCCCATTGGCATTGTGGAACCTATTTCCATCCCCATTATTTTCTTTAAAGTTCTGGCTAGATCTGGAAGCCTGGTGAGAGTCCAGGTTTTATTATCTTGCTAACAGCACTTCAGGGGTGATGGGGGCCTTCAGAGTACTCATTCCTCATACTGTCCAGTTGTCCTTTTCTATTTTATCCATCACTTATCACATTACCTAGACCTCCTATTTCTAAAAGAGTTATGAAATGGTGATAGTCTAATTAATAATTCCTTTTTAAAGTTTCTTAGTTGAATTTTCTCTAGATAAACTTGTCTAGAGAAATTTCAGACTTTATATACCTAGGTTGTTATCATAGTTTCAGTGGTTAAGTACATCTGCATGTTTAACATGTACTCAGTTTGAAGTACTCAGATATGAGCATCTGGGAAAATCTCATAAAGACAGGATTATTAATATGAATGATTTTTGGACATTTACCTCTGTATTAGCTTTAGATCATCATCAGTTTTAAATAAAATACCATGTTTTCTATATTATACTCACTCATGTGATGAATGATGGCCCTTAAAGACAGGCCCATGTTTTAACCCCTGAAAACTATGAATGTGATCTTACTGGAAATATTTTTTGCCAGTGTGATTAAGTTAAGGATCTTAAGATGATCATCTTGGATTATCTGAGTGGACTTTAGATGCAGTGACAAGTGACTTTACAAGAGACACAGGAAATCCAGAGGAAAAGAGGAGAAAGGATCTTAAGATGATCATCTTGGATTATATGAGTGGACTTTAGATGCAGTGACAAGTGACTTTATAAGAGACACAGGAAATCCAGAGGAAAAGAGGAGAAAGGATCTTAAGATGATCATCTTGGATTATCTGAGTGGACTTTAGATGCAGTGACAAGTGACTTTATAAGAGACACAGGAAATCCAGAGGAAAAGAGGAGAAGGCCACGTGAACATTGACCAGATGCTGGAGTGGAGTGGCCACTGGCTGCGGGAAGCCTGGAGCCAGCAGAAACTTCAAGAAGAAGGAGAGTCTTCTGCCTGAACCTTGAGGAGAAGCCTGGCCCTGCCGAGGGATACCTTGCCTCAGCTTCTGACTCTAGCGCTGAAAGAATGTATTTGTGTCCTCTTAAGCCACCTAGTTTGTGACATTTTGTTTAGCATCTGTGGAAAATAAGTACCCCCATCATTTGGCTGAACTGAGCTTCCAGGCATATATATAGAAAAATCAAATAAATGACTTTTTCCCTGACACAACTCAAGAGCTTCACAAACACAGTATCCATCCTTGTAAAGGTTGCTGAGGAAGAAGCAGAAAGCAGACTCTTGCGAACGCACTGCTATGTGGGAGGGATGCCCAAGCCTCAGAAAGGCAGGACGCAGAGCTCGCGCCTCGGGAGTCAGATCCCGAGACGGCAGGGGAGGGGGCCAGGCACTCAGGCCCCACCGCTCCGCTGAGTGCTGCTGCATCAGTCCCTCAGAAATTCCCTCTGATCCACCGAGCC